TTTCCATCCTCCGCTTGCTTGTTATCGGTTTCAACCGCTTTTTTTTTTTTTTTTTTTGTGCGCGCACGTGTTTCATTGTATGGCAGGGATGGACACGGCGACGACTCGGGAGGCGGCCACTCGCGAAGAGGGCGCGGAGGCGGCAGGGGGGGTAGGGGGGGCTTGTCGAGACAAAACAGCGCCAACAGAAAACACAGGGTGAGCGATCGAGATAAAAGAGTCGTTTGTTGTTTGTCGCACACGCACCGGCGGCGTGCGCAGGGTAATCAATGCCCGTTTTTTCGCGACTGACTGGCGTTTCGAGTTGCGAGGCGAGTTGTGAAGCGATTTGAGTCATGCGCAGCGTTATGGCACGCAATCCCACGAAGTGGCGGTGAGTCTTTGTCGCACGCGGGGGGGGGGGACACGAATGAGCGGCGCCGCCGTTGTGCCTTGCCAAAGCCTCCCTCCGACTGCCCAGCAGGGTATTCGGGGCGTCTCGGGGCGAAGGCGAGACGCGTTCCTCTTCAACGACGAATCCTGCCCCCGCACGCTACTCGAAGAAGATGTGAAATTAACGTACCATGCAGGTGCTGGTTCTGAATGAGGACCTGTTATTTTCGCGCTCTCGAAAAATTCATTAACCCGCCAGGCGCCACAACCCGAGTCAGTCACTCTTGGTAGGCAACCGCTGTTTTTTTTTGTTTTTTGTTTTTACTCCCATCATTGGACTCTGTCGTCTGCCCCTCTGGCCCCTATCCTCCACTTCTTCTAGCTAGACGACCCAACCGGGGTCACATAGGAGGGGGGGGCTGGACCCCCTCCTGCGGTTCATGCCTGAGGTATTTTTATCGCGAGAAGGGTACAGCAATCCCTTCCCTCGCGTCCCCCGCTGTGTTCACCAGTGAATCCCCGACTGAATTTCCTCTCCCGTTTTATGCGACTGCTGCGGCTGCTGTTGCTTGTTGTTTTTTTTCGTCTCGCAGGGCGGAAGCGGCGGTTCTTGAAGAGGCAGCAGCCGCGCGCCCGTTATTTCCGCCGCGACTTGTTTTTTCGTCTCGACAAAGTCTCTCTCTTGACGTGCCTCCCTCTGGGACGCGGGCCGGGTGAAATCCGGTGACTGGAACGAGTGGAGACTACGCAGATACAGTACTTTTTATTTACCCCGGGAAGATGGATGCCACTTTTTGGGTGTGTGGTTGAGTTCGGGCGGTGTGTTGTGTGTGTGTGGAGTGAGTGAGTGGTAATGTGTCCCGAAGCATCTTGAATTGCCGTGTATGATGTACGAGATGAAAGCGACACCTTTCTTGCGGAGAGTCTTGTGTGTTCCTTGGTGAAGGTGGTGGTTGTGTTGGGCAGGGGTTGGAGCGCCGATTTTTTTTTTGCGGCTGGTGAACGAACCATGAACTGGTTGGTGTCCACGGCCTGGGATATATGGGATTGTGTCGGTGGAAAAATGAATGCTTTTCGATCGAGTCTGTGTTGGTGGGTAACTGGAACGCGCGAGAGGACGTCGAGGGTGACGACAGATCGGAATAATGCTTTTTCTTTCCGCGGGACGAGAGGTTGCGTGATGCCGTGCGCCTGCCTGCATGATTCCCCACGTATTCCTCCTTGGTGGTGGTTTGTCGTTTGTCGCAGTGTGCATTTTTTTTTTTTCCTGTTTTGCTCGAAGGAAAAAGTTGGCGCTTTACTGGCCTTGCCTGCAGGCGGTAGAGGCGGAGAATGGGGGCAGGCAAGTGAGATATCATTATCCTTCAGTTGATTGCCCGCGGGAAGATGATTTCCACACATGTTTGCCCCGTGAGAGCTCCTCGATGTACTTACACCGGCGGATCAACATGCTTCGAGCATCCGAAGGGACGAAACGCTCTCAGGATTTACCCTTTTACGTCGTACGTGCGAGGGTTCATCATCAGCAACAGCATTTTGCTCCGCAATTTCTCAGTTAGTTGGACTATCACGGGTGCTCGCCTACAAAGAAATCCGCTTACCACGATGCCGACAGCTTGAGTTTTCTCTCTCTCTCTGACAGATGTGCGTTTCCCGAAAGCATGCCCCTCCGCAACAGCAGTGTGTGGGTCGAAGGGGAGACGAGGTGTGTACGGTAGAGGATAAAGCGGTTATTATCGGAAACACGCCCTCGCCACTAAGAACACCGATCACCGTCTGTTGGATATCTGCGTCTTTTTGTTTGACACCCATACTTGAATATTTTCGAGACCGCACGATTGTGAAATCAAGCTTGTTTTTACCCTGCTGGTCGCCGAGATAGATAATAACGCCGCCTTTCATGTGGCGTGCGGAATCGCGCGCTTCCCCTCTGGGCTGAAGGACGCGGCGGTGATGGACGATTATTTCCGTCGGGTCATAGGCAATACCCGCTTAACCCCGCGCACTAGAACAACGGGCAGCGCTTCGAAAAGGTAGTAAATGACAAACATGGAACAAACAAGCTTGCAGTCCAAGGAGTAGAAGCCTGCGCGAAGAAGTGTGTACCCTGCGTACGATTTGGAACAAAGATGGAAACAAGGAGGACGTACATCGTGAAAGCGCTGGCCTCGCCGCCGAGATCTTAACAGGGCGATGTCATACGTCTCGCTGTTGGCAGGTTGAAGGAGAAGCGGTTCTTCGCGTGCACATGGCTACCGTGTGCCACTTTTGTTGCTATGCCCAGGAATCAGCAACCGCATGTTTTCAACAAAACCAGTGCCCGGAATCGATTCGACTAGATATTTCTATCCTCGTGTACGTACGTGCAGAGCAGCACCTTCGTTTCTATTTATACGTTCGTGACGCCATTATATCGAGATACTACACCAAAAATTCAATGGAGGAGGAGTGGTGACAGACGGCAATCTATTCACACAGAACACGCGTGTGGTCTTCCGCCGACCGGGAAGCCTTTGGTAATTCATCAGGCAAGACGTTGTCGCAAGTGATAACACATACCTTACCTATCCTAAGGCCTTGTAGTCACACCGGCGCGCTCTTTGGAATCCGAAAAAAACAGGCCGGTTGCCCAAAAGGGTCCAAGTCATCATCCCTTCGCCTGTCTGAGTCAACACCCAAACACCCTCTTTTTGGCTGTCGCACCACCTCCTCTTCCTTGAAACCGAACCAGATTAAGCCCCCGTAGCAACCACACCACGACTCATAAACCTGCCTCTCCCGAGCAGCAGCCATGCATAAACAAAACCAAGAGCAATACGAATCTCCCGTAAAAACAACGTAACACTACATGTTTCTCTCAAAACTTCACAGACCTCGGCACGTCCCTTCGATATTGTCTCGAGCGGGTAGTCTCTGTGAGATTGTGTTTGTAAGCATTTTACACAGAAAACTTCCCAACCAACTCTTCGCTGGCCGTCCACATCCGCTCCGCCGCTTCGGGATCTCTTGCCAACTCCGAAGGCAACTTGGAGATCTTAGGCCCGATGTAGTATGTCCCCCCCGCGGAGCTCCCCTTGCCGAGGGCAGGATCCGCTGCGCACGCGATCTAAAAATCAAAGGGGGAAGGAGAGAGAGAGAGAGAGAGGGGAGGAGAGAGGGAGAGGGAGAGACATGGGGAAAAGAAAACCAAAGCGGAGGCCATGAGAGGCCTATCATTGAGACATTGGAGACATTGACGAAGAACAGGAGGGGCTTGCCCCCATCGGGCGACTAAGTGCAGCACTTGCAGCACAAAAAAACTGCGCGTCAAAACCCTGAAGGATGCCGACCCAATAATACTCAAGGAAGCCGGAGGTTGCCACCCGGCCCCTTTACCTTGAAGTGGCAGCCGAGAGAACGTCGCACCTGTGTCTGAGCGCCCTCCTTCGGAGTTTTTGTGACCAGCGTCAACGCGGCGAGAGCGGGGTAGACTAGAGGGTTCGCGGGCTGGGAAGGGTCGAACAGATATCGGCCTAGTTCCGTTCGGCAAGCTCCCGGGTGCAAAGTAGTCGCTGTGATGGAGCCTGCTGGATGGCGGCAGAGGGCAGGGGGGAGCGGGTATTCGTTGTGCTTGGCAGCCATCCTTGTAGTCTTCTAACATAAAACGGACCCGGGCGACTACTCGGGCACGAACTACTGTACACTTCGGAGGGGAGTTGGGGGACCATGACACACACAACGCATGAGCGCTAAGCGCAGGACTCAACGAAACGAGGATGCTGCATCCCGGCAATCAGTTTCAACAATATCAAGATAGACCTGAAAACATGCCGCAGGAACGAACAAAAAAAACTACCGGACCAGTATTATGGAGGCCTCCCGACGTACCAAAGGCCCCGTGGATAGCCCGACCGCGGTCAAACATCGGTTCTGCTCGTGGCACACCCGCCCGCGCGCAAACACACTCCTCGGGACCGATTTCGGCGTCTACTCCGTTAAGCATGTTGTACCACTCCCCCTTCAGCCCGCCCGACAAGCAAAGCCACTGTTGTTTCCATATGGCAGCAAGCAGCCCACACCTCCTTTACTGTCCACTCTTCTCTGCAGGGCCTTGGTGAAGTAGATGTTGCTGAGCTTGCTGAGGCCGTAGGCCTTCCACGGCGCGTACGCGCCGGGGGCCTGGGCGTTGAGGTCGTCCCACTCCACCGAGGACGCGAACAGGTGCGCCGAGCTCGCGACGTTGACCACCCTCGCGTCCGGGCTCTTGAGTAGAGCCGACATCAGCAGGCTCGTGAGTCGAAAGTGCCCTTCATGCGAGAGAGAAGGCAGTGTCGCCGACGTGAACAGCCATGTGATGAGGAAGTATTACATTAAAAAAAAAAGTGGTCAATTACATGGTTTGTGTGCGAGTGATGGGAGACGGGGAGGCGAGAGCGGGGCACAAACGGTGCCGGTTGGCTTGTCGTCCGGACAAAGAATTCCTCCTGCTCTCTTGGGGAATCGAACTTCTCGCTCCCCGGTCACATTTCGGGCGCGTATGCATACCACATTGCAAACAAACAAAATGACCCACACGGGGCGGAGGAATAAAATAGAAAGAGGTACAAGGCACACGCGGTTTACTGCAACACCTACAAAAAAAAAAAGCATGTTCTATTTTTTGTACAGCCACCCATGTACAAACTGTCTCGTCGTTCGATGCTCACCGAGGTGGTTGGTTCCGAACTGCATCTCGAACCCGTCCTTGGTCGCCTGTCGCTCGGGGATGGCCATCACGCCCGCGTTGTTGACCAGGATGTCCAGCCGGTCGGAGGAGGAGGCGTACCGCTTGGCGAAGGATCCCACGCTGTCGAGGGATGCCAGGTCCAGCGGCATCGCCCCGACCTGCCGGAGACAAGGGAAGAGCAGGGGAGAGACAGCGAAGTGTAACTTGAGAGTCGCCCAAACTGCGAAAAAAAAGAAGGGACACCGCTGTGCACAGTCCGAGCACATGCTCTGGGGGTGAGCACAAGTGCGAAAACGAAGTAAAGCGGTATGCCGAGAAGACTGTATTGGTTATGGAGGCCGGGGTGCACCGTTTCACCAGGCCGGGTCACGTCAAGATGTTGCACCCAGCAGTGCATCGAGCCCGTGACTCCCTTCACGACGAAACAGCCTAGAGGTGTATGTTGGCCAAGGCAACAAGAGGGGCAAGATAGACCTTCGTTCTCGTACCGAGTCCAGGAGGAATGTTAAAGGGATACAGCTATGTAGAACCCTGACAATCTATATCTTCTTTGACGAAAGCAGGGTGAATAACTCAGGGGACAACGACACCAACTTCTCACCCCGTGGGGTTCTTACCGCACCCTCGGCGTCGAATGCCGGGTCGGACTTCAGATATCGTCAACAACAAGGTCAACAGAACACCAGGGCGACGACAAGAACCATGGCGACGCCCACATGTGCACGATTCGCAGCGGAGACCACACGCGCCGTGTACCGTAGGCGACGTAGGATACCACACCCCTAACGAAAATGTACAGAAATTTTGTCTGTAAAATGCACCGGTTCGTCGCACGGTCACAGAAGACACCACATCCTCCGAGTTGAGCCGCAAAAACATATCCACGTAGCCCTATATCGTACCGGTGTGGTAGGCCGTGATCACCCACACAAACGCACGCAAGCCTGAGCTAGAGCAATGGCGACCGACAACACAGCGGGGATGAACGAAGCACACAACACTGCCGAAAGCATCGCGGCTTAGACTGTGTGTTGCTTTCCGTACACGGTGAAGGCTTGGTCGTCTTGTCGCTTAGATGTTGGGCGCGCTGTGCTCGGCTCTGCACACAACACCGGCAAAAACGTCGTAAAAAATATTTCTTGATTTTTGACAGGAGGGTCGCCTCCCACCAGGACTTCCACAAGTGTAAATACGACTCTACGTCGCGATTCACGCAGAAGCGGCATGCGTCAGTGCGGATACCGCACCACCTGTACCCCTGTAGCTGGTGCTGTGTGTGGGCACTTCATGCCACGCGTGACATTATCGTACCCCGTCATGATCACACCCCGTGCCTAACAACCCCCCTCGTCATCACACCGCTGTAGGTAGGGTCGTGTGAGCGCACTTGGTCACATGGGTGACATTTTTCACACTCAATGTATATCACACCCACTGCGGGTTGGATTCCGTTGAGTGCAGATTATAGCACGGGCCACACATGATATCACACCCCCTACAGAATGGTCGTCCGGTTCAGCAACCGTACAGCAGTAGATACGTAGCTGTCGTGGCCCGTCCGTGCGAAACCTGGACGAGAAGACCGGGAAGGTGATTCCCGCCCCTTTTTGACCTTAAGCCACGGTACATGGCCCGCTTGTCTTTTGACTGTCGTCAACGACTCTTTTCAGAGTCCGTTTTCACATCGCAATTTTTCTTTCCGCACCTCACATCAGACATCAAGCACTGCGGCACGCGATACGAGGGTTGAACTAACCTTAGCCCCGGGGGCTTGAGCCTTGATGTCCTCCAGCGCCGCGAAGGCCCTGTCCGGGTTCCTGCAGGCGATCGTCACGTCGGCCCCAAGCTGCGCTAGCCGCACCGCCGTCTCCTTGCCTAGGCCCGTGTTTCCTCCCGTGATGACCGCCGTCTGTAGTGTGATATACATCGACGGTAAATCGCATTTGCATCCAGTTGGAAGTTTTTTTTTTTTACCATCTTGCATCCAGTTGGAGTTGGATTTTTCCATCATGAACGTAGAGTTGAAAGTGAGTGGCGTGGCGAGAGGGGGTGGGGGGGTGCGTTCATGATGGTAAACTTGGAAGGCGTTGCAAGGCGGGCAAAAAAGCTGAAGCACACTCTCATCTAATGTGCATGTGGTACATACCCGAATGGGAGTGGAGCGAAGAAAAATGGCTCCGGACGTACGCATATCTGTCATTGCTTTTTCAACACGAGCAGGGGTACGTAAGAACCAACCAGAATCTGTTCACTCTACTCCGCTGAAATGTAAATTGGGCGGTATCGTCTCGAGCACAGGCCGTGGGCGAAACTAAATGTACAGCAGCTTCGGCGCCGACTCTATTCAAGCTCGCAGGTGGTATGATTGTGTGCCAAAATTACAGAGGGAGCGGTTTGTACCCATACATAAGTGTGACGAAAAAATAAGTTACTTATACGGCCACACAGGCAACACATGGGGGATCGCTAGACCAAACCTCTTTTCTGCAGTGCATCTGCTTGAAATTTTCTGCAGTTCCGACGTGTAGGCCGCATGCCGCGCGACCACGGACAATTAGCAACACGCTACATTTTGTACCGCCTTTACCCGAAATCAAGTCGCCATGTTTTCGTCTCAAGAAATCGGTCATGGGCCGCCGACGCGGTGCATAATCTACAACCCGACGGATGGGTCCTCTCGGCTGACTCGTGTAAGACTCATCGTGGCGCGCGAAGCAGTTTCAGCCGACCTGCCAAAATTCTGTACCGCTGCTCTCGACCAGTGTGCAACAGCCGGGTGTGTGAGATCCGTCCATAGATCCATGATCCAGGCAGTGGTGAGTCAGCAAAGAACACGTTGTTGTTGCCGAACACCCTCACACGAGAACCTGGCCCTACAACCGACAACCAGAACATTCGCACCCGCGCTTCTATGCTTGCGCATGTGCTGGACAACAGCGGTGCCGGGGTCAGACGCGGTTGTCCTTAGCGGTGGAGCAAGATCGCGATTAAGAGAGAGCAGGCCTACATTGCGAGCGGCCCTTGCTCGACTACAACCAAGACTACACAGCAGTAGTAAAAAAACATGAACCGTCTTGTCGTCGTGACTGATCGTTCATATTCTCTGTCCCGTCACCTTGCCGCTCAGATCCGGGCTGCCGTTATACGGCACGCCGGCGACGAAGCCCTTCTGGACGAACGTTCCCGCACCGAGAACCCCAGCAGCTTTCGTCACGCCCTCAAGGAGCGACTTGCGCGTGAACGGCCCCGTGCTCTGCTCATCGCCGCCCCCGTCAGCAGGAGATGATGACGCCATGCGGATGGATGTTCGTGCAGCTGCGACGGGCAAACCATTGTCCCAAGAGGGCAGCAGCAGGGCGCCTCTTTCCGGCTTTCGCAGCAGTGACCTCGGCGCAGGACAAAGTCCGACCACCACGCTGACGAAGCTTGCGGCCAAGGCTACCTTCATGGCGAGCATCGTGCTTGTCACTGGTGTGGGGTCTTCGTTTAGTGCTGCCCCCGGAGAAGTGTGTGACGTGATCGACGGAGATTTGGAGTTCCATTAATCTTTTCTGGGGAGAAACCGTCGGCGGCGCGGCAGAGCACCTATAAATAGGGCAATTTCGTTCGACGTGGGTTTCGTCGGCTTGCTGATCTCTCCTTGCTGCTGCAGTTTATACTGTAACAAGTATACATATGTGTCTCCAAGTCATGTCAACCACTTTGTGGATCTACAGTACATGACAGTAGTTTCCTGGCCTGCACAGCAGTGTCATCACCCAACGTATACCGCCCCCCCCCCAAAATTCAAAACCAAACTGCCTTGTCGATGAGCTGTTACCCACAGGGGAGATATCGCTGATGTTTGTTGCTGTTGTTGTTTCTCACATTAGCTCTGTAGTCCACAAAAAATGGGGAGCCCGTGGTCTCAAAACCCGGCACATACGACGCCACGGGGAAACAAAACAAAAAGTTGTTGTTGTTATTGTTGTTGTTGTCTTATTAAAAACCGTTCCGATCTCTCTCTACCCAGTACCTTCGTATGTCCGTACTGATACAACACTCGACGCGGTGATTCTATTGGTCGCAGACCCTAAGAAGGTACACTCAAATAAAATGGCCCCGAGGGGACCGCAAGTTAATAGAAATCAACGACAGGTATTCTGGGGTCCTCCACTCCCTCTGCGCGCTATGCGAGGTAACAACTGAGACTAGGGGTCACCATCACGGGCCGGAGAGAATGAGGTACACCCCCTTGGTTCAATCTTGGTACTTCACAACGCAAGCAGAGACAAGGCCATCTGGCACAGAAAAAGAGAGAAAAAGAGAAAAAGAGAAAAAGAGAAGAATATAAAAGGAAACAGTAAGGAAAGAGAGAATGAAATAAAAAGAGCGAGGACAAAAAAAAGGGACCAGGCCGAAAATAACAAGAAATAAGAGGCAGAAAAAGGCACACGGTAGAGAGACCACTTACGACAAGCAAACAAGCAAACATGGCCACCAACCAGCGATACATTGTCATGGTACGTCATCACTAGTGGGGGGTTGGTGCAATGGTGCAGCGTTGGGGGGGGGAATTGGCTAAAAGAAATTCAATCCGGCACGCATCGCGCCACTCGGTCCGTCTCTTCTCGTTTGCTTTCTTCCCTCGCCGTCTCGTCCGTCTCCTGCCCCCCTCCCGCCCCATTGGTTGGTGGCTTGTGGTTTCGTTTGAGCGCCCGTTGTCGGCTGGCCTCTTCTTCCTTCTCGTGCCAGGAGGTCATGAACCTCTCAGCTCCCTGCAGCACCGCCGCATGCCAGGGTACTCCCCCCTCTACCTTCGTGGCTTCCGTCCACTTCAACTTTGGTGCCGTGTCTTTCGGTACCACCGGTATTCCGAGACAACATGGATGGATCGGTTTTCGTAGATCCGTGGTCGGCCCCGAATGTCTTCAGGTCGTCGAGCATACACTTCGGCCAGTTCTGTTCCTGTCCCCCCCTACGTCGCTTCTCCCCCCCTGCCAGTTCGCCGAACATCAGTCGTTTCGGGAGTTGCCCGTCCGGCTGCCTTGCCAATGCTCCCGCGAACAGTAGGCGTCGTTGTCGGATCGTGGCTTCAACGCTCTGGCATTCGACCCTCTTCAGCGTCTGGGCGTAAGAGAGCTGCCGGTAGGTGTCTTTCTTGCGCTTGTACCCGATAACTCGAAGGAGCAGTCGGTGGTGTATCGACCGCAGCGTCTGATAGTGGCCGCTGAGTGGTGACCATGTCATGCAGCCGTACAGCAGTGCCTCCATCGCCTCCGCCTGGAGCAGGCGGATCTTGAGTCGGAATGGCGCTTGCGGTCTGTCGAAGAGCTCCCGGCCATATCGCATGAGGCACGCGCACGCTCCTCTGCTCCTGTATGTAGTTGATCTCCCGGGTGAGGTCGCCATGTTCGTTGACGAGGCCACCGAGGTACCGGAACTCTGTCGTCTGAGCGTATTTCTGTCCCGCGGCTTCGATGGTCAGTGGTGGAGGCGGGGCGGGCTGTGATGTTGTAGTCGGCTTGTCCTTTGCGCACATCAGGAGCGTCGTACAAACCACTCGGAAAAAGAAAACAAAATGATGAACTTGAGGAGTGGCCATAATCGGGTACACCCGGCCCCAATCCGCCCATTATCGGGTACCTTTTTTAACACAGTCGGCAGCGCCCTCCTGGCGCCATCTGATTGGCCGACGCCCGCCCCTACCCGGCCCTGACCCTATTCCCACCGGGTGCACCCGATCTTGGCTACTCACCCCCCGGAGGGGTACCCGATCTTACTCTCGCCTACCCGAAAATGGCTGGGCTATTCGACCACCAGCAGACCACGTTCACGAACACACGTCACCAACACCCCGCACTCGAGTTCCGACGCGTACGACGGCGGGCGGAGGCGGCCCTAACACGGCTAACGCGGCGGAACTCTCGTTAGAAGTGGATCAGTGGTTCTCTCTCCTGCAACGCGGTGGAACCCTCGTTTGAAGTAGATCTTGCTCCTGCAAGTAGATCTCGCTCCTCAACCCACCAAGGCGACCATACCCACTGCATTTAACACCCACCCACATGTCAGTGATGAAACCCCAACCACACGCCTCTATCGGCGGCCACGGCAGGCGGCAATGATGAGATAATGTTCTCCCATGCCCTTCTCACATGGAACGACATGCCATTAGTCTACACAACAAGGTAAATATGTTCTCCCGCGCCGCACATGCCCCCATACATCACACACAAAAAATAAGTTGATGACGAAAATCTACACACCCCGAGACACGCTTGCTCCGCAACCACGTAAGGGTGCTATAATAGAACACCCGAAACCGAGATTAAGGTACCCAACACAGCAGAGTGTAGCCAGGGGGGGGGGGGCGTACTCTTATGTTTTGCATGTCTTAGCGGTTAGACCATTGACCACGCGTCCTCGAGAGGACGGAGCATTGTTCCCACAGGACCGATCACCGATGGCCAATCGTTCCTTTCTACTTTGCCAAAGGTGGCTCAAAAATGTCTTCCCTAGTCTGTCTATCCTAACGATATCCCTTCCCGCCTTTTCAACCCACCTCCTATGCCCCAGTACAGCTACCGTCCTTTCCTCTCTATTCCATGCCTCAAACATCTCCCTGTACGTTCCATCTATTTTTCCCAGCTCAGTCACGTACACTTCCCTCTCCTTCTTGTACAACGGACATTCCGCGACTACATGAACACGGTCTTCGCATTCGAAGCCGCAATCACATTTGAACTCGTCGTCTTCCTCGTCTACCGTCCTATGTCTTCGTCGACGTTCTCGAAGGCCTATGTCCCCGGTCCTGAATTTGACCTTAAGCTTTGTTCCTGCATCCATTGGTCCATGTAGGTAGTCCTTGAACCCTATTCCTTCCTTCAACATTCCGTACACTTCTAGACCCTCCTTATCCTTGGATTCTTTCCTCAGATTCTGTTCTTCTCTCTCGGCACAAGCAACAGATATCTTCTCCTTGAACCCCTGTAGACCCTCCGTTTCCAGCGTTTCATCTTCGTCGATGTCGAGCCCCTTCCATACGTCCTCTACAACCTTGACCCATTCCGTGGGTTGTCTACCCCTCTTTTTGTTTGCCCACTTCGCCTCCCATACAATTCTCGGCAACCTCTCCTCTCCCATCCCGCACATGCGATACTGCCAGGTCAGCTTCCTCGCGTCTCTTCCCGACCGTAGGGATTGGATCCCCAATTCTGCCCTCACGGCTGCATTACTTGTGCGCCTGGAGCATCCTAGGATGGTTTTCGCTGCTTTCATCTGCGCCGCCTCGAGTTCTTTCACTACCTTCTTATTTCCTTCCCATACTTCTCCGGCGTACTCTAGCGGCGGTACGATTACGCTCTTCAAAACCGTCAATTTGATGCGTGTATCGAGGTGCCGGTTTGCGAGTATTGGGTGCAGCTTCCCTGCTCGTGCTTTGCCCTTTTCCGCTACCTTGGACATGTGTGCATTCCACGAGCAGTCTTTTGCGATCTCTACTCCAAGGTATGTGTACTGGTCCACTACTGCAATCTCCTCGATCCCCCACTTCCATCTATGTTCTACTGGTTCCTCCTTGTTCTCGTTGCAAACCATGACGGCACTCTTCTGAACGTTGGCAGACAATCTCCACTTATCAGTAAACTTCTTCGCCGCGTCAATTTGCAGTTGCAGTCCCTCAGGGGTGTCCGACATACCGACAAAATCATCCGCAAACAGCATTCCTGAAACCGACGTTTCCGTGTCCCCTACTTTTACTCCCTTCCGGACTGCCTCTACGACTTCCAACAGATCGTTGATGAACACCTGGAACAATGTTGGGGACAGCGTGCAACCTTGTGGGACCCCCTGCTCAATGTCGAAGAATTTTGACAGTTCTCCGTCTAGCATGACCGCGCTTTTCGTACACTCTGTCATCTTCTTCAGCACTCTCCACATTTTCCCCTTGATCCCGTATTTGGACAGTTGTTTCCACAACCCATTTCTCCACACGGTGTCGTATGCCTTTTTCACGTCCAGGAAGAAGCAGTACGTCGGCTTTCCCGCCCTCTTTCTACCTTGGATGATTCTCCCTACCGTGAACACGTGGTCTACGCACCCCCTCTTCTTGCGGAAACCTGCCTGGCCCTCACTAATGCTATGTTCCTTCTCCAATACTCCCACTATCCTATCGTTCAGCAGCTTACAGAACACTTTTCCTACTGTGTTCAACAGTGTGATCCCCCTGTAGTTTCCTGGGTCAGTCTTGTCTCCTTTCTTGAACAAGTTCACAACCACTCCTTCCCTCCATCTACTTGGCGTATACTCGTTTTTCCACACCCAATTGTATAGCAGTACCATCAGCTGGATCATCCCCTTCCCCCCAAACTTCATGAACTCGTTGACTATCCCATCCGCTCCTGCTGCTTTGTGGCACTTCAGCTTGTTCACACACGCCTCAACCTCGTCCTCAGTGAACTCCTTTTCTAGTTCTACGTTCCCAACGTCTGCCTTCGATGTGTAGCCAGGGGGGACATGAAAAAAAAAGAAACACAGCACAGAGGCCGAAGGCAATAATAATAAAAAAATACAACGCATAGAAGAGAAAATGTGCCTATTAAGGACCACCCCCCCATTAAGGACCACATTTTTTAAACGGGCATACCAGGCGCACAATTCGCCGCCCCCCCCTTGTCCTTTTTTTTTAGAGGTGTGGCCAAAATCGGGTACACCCGGCCCCAATCCGCCCATTATCGGGTACCCTTGTTTTACACAGTCGGCAGCGCCCTCCTGGCGCCATCTGATTGGCCGACGACCGCCCCTACCCGGCCCTGACCCTATTCCCACCGGGTGCACCCGATCTTGGCTACCCACCCCCCGGAGGGGTACCCGATCTTACTCTCGCCTACCCGAAATGGCTGGGCTATTCGACCAACAGATCACCTGCAGACCACGCTCACGAACACACGTCACCAACACCCCGCACTCGAGTTCCGACGCTTCCGACGGCGGGCGGAGGCGGACCTAACACGGCTAACGCGGCGGAACTCTCGTTAGACGTGGATCGGTGGATCTCTCTCCTGCAAGACTCCTCCTGCAACCCACCGCCGACGGCGGAACTCTCTCGGTTCTCGTTTCGTATCGGAGGGGGAGGAGAAAGAGGGCCAGGCGGGCGGCGGTGGATGAATACCTCTCAATACCTCACTCACGTGATCACGTGAGCTGCACACAAATACATGACGCAGCTCAGATATGTCCACGGAAGCATCAGGCACAGAAGCATCAGGGTGTCGCTTTCGTCTGGAATACATGTATAGACACATCAAGACCGGAGATGTATGGCACGTTGTTGTGCACGCAGAGGGTCGTTCGTACACAGCAAAATGCAGCAGCAGCAAGCAGTGGATGGCGTGGTTGTGTCTCGATCAAGACCGGAGATATATGACACATTGTTGTGGAGGAGGAAGAGGATCGTACATACATACAGTAATGCAGCAGCAGCAGGCAGTGGATGCCATGGGACCTCAGATTAATGATAATAATTCCTTGACTTCGAACTCTCGTGAGTACGTGGGAGAGACAAGGAACTGCGGGCTTGCCACAGGAGATGGTGAAATATAGAGAGAGTCTCAGTGGTGGTGCACGCAGCATGAACGATGTCCTAAGATGACTGGTGGTGAAGTAACACGCGCCTTGCGCGAGGATCGCGGTGTTCTCTACTTCATCGCTCATATTCTGCCGATGCCAGTCGACTGTTCAGGCACGAGTGCCGAAACTAACCACGAGAGACTTGGTGGGTTGAGGAGCGAGATCTACTTGCAGGAGCGAGATCTACTTCAAACGAGAAGAGTTCCGCCGCGTTGCAGGAGAGAGATCCACTGATGATCCACTTCAAACGAGAGTTCCGCCGCGTTAGCCGCGTTAGGTCCGCACTCGCCCGCCGTCGGAAGTGTTTGCGGCCTACGCCACTTATTTATCGGGTGATACTGTTTTGGTGATGTATTAACTTCACGGGAGGTCGACGACCGTCCTTCACACGGACGAAAGAGGGAGTGCTCCAAGAGCGGCTCCCACAACAAGGAGGGGCCCCGTGAATCATCGGTGCTCCCTATCAAACGGTTATCTTACCAGTCTGCGTGACACAAAATCATCCAGCACATGTCATGTGAGATGTATCCAACAACAATGTTCGCAGACCCACGAGCACCCTCCCTGGTTCTTCACGCAAGTGACTAACCATCACTTGGGCAAGAACGCCCCAGGATACATCAGAAAATACCAACATGGTAATATATGGAGGGGAAACCCGGCGTCCGGGCAATACCTCTCAAGGAAAAACCCTACCACCACAAAAAAACAGTCGCTATCACAGCGGATCACAACGGCCGCACTTCTTAGATAGTCTAGAGAGAGATGGATACCCAGTCATATTCACAAAAAAAAGAAAATCGCTTGAAGACGCTGCCAACAAGACTATATGTACGCAGATACTTGCGTATTGCATCGTGGGTCGCAGCAGCAGCTTCTGAAAAAACTCAAGCTTCGCGTTCTGAACTAGACTTCGCTGAGGAACGGTCCCGAACCGACGAGAAATCATCGATTTGATTCCGAAAACCAAATCGAACACGTCACGCCCTGCGACACTAAACGATCATTCGCCTCAAAAACTTCCTCATCGGACGCTGCTCCAAACGGGCACAGGTAAGCCCCTACACTGGTGTGTGCATGCTGTATTACATGGTAGACGTGTTGCCGTTGCTTTCGCATCTGCAGGCAGCACCTCGGCCTCATAGCAACAAGCCGACATTTTGTTGCGGATGGTCCTTGCATCATCGTCATCATGATCATTAGACTATTTACATCATGGATGGCCGGACTGCCTAACAAAAACCCACCACCCACCTGCTCCGCCAGTCACCCAACACAACCAACACACACGAAGGGATGGTCAAACACACAAAAAACGACGGAACTTGTCACTACCCCTCACATCACACATGTCCCAATGTTGGAAACTCGTGACTTCTGGAGAAATATGTGGTGTATTAATGAGAACTTGCCCGGAGAGACAGGTCGGCAAGGTGGAGTGAGCACGATGGGCTGCGCTCCCCATGGCTTCTCGCTACAGCTTTTCCTCAGCAATAAATCTATTCGCTGCAATCTACTAACCTTTGTGTTACGTTTCGTTACAATACCAAGTATCACCTACTACACCGCAATACACGTCATACATTCGATACTACAGCCACAATTCACGAACACCCTCCCTTGGGGCTGTCGTCTCGACCAGACCTAATAATACAAAATCAGATACTAACTCAGATCTCTACTGCTCAGCTACTGAGCCAAAGACAAAGTCACGGTGAACTTCAAAAAGGTTTCTCGGTAGAGCCTTTGTGAGGATGTCAGCATGCTGCTCCTTGCTTGGGACATGGGTGACCTCGATCATGCCCTCCTCCGTCAAATTCCTAAGGAAGTGGTGCCTCTCGTCAATGTGCTTACTCCTACTCGAGCTAAGCGGATTCTCTGCAAGCGCAATCGCTCCTTCGTTGTCCTCAAAGACGTCAATTTTTCCGAGGCTTCGCACTAGGTCTCAAGAACTGAAGCATCCCGTTCACAAAGAGAGCCTCCTTAACGACGTCACCTATCGCAATATACTCTGGTTCAGAAGTTGACAGTGAGACACATTTCTGCGTCCAAGAAAACCAAGACACAAGACAGCCAGCTACAAGAACTAATGCTCCAGAAACTGATCTACGGTCAGTGGCCTTGCTGGCAAAGTCAGCGTCTACGTACACTAACGTGCCTACGTCTACCGTAGTGTCCTGCTTGTACTTCAGAGTTAGATATGCCGTTTCCTTAAGATAACTCAAAATCTTCTGGGCTGCCTTCCAGTCACTCTTCTTGGGCTCGTGAGAGTGTCTCGCCACCGTCCGCACAGCGTTCGAAGTTTCTGGCCTCGTATTGTTGGCGATCCACATCAGGCATCCCACCACTTCCCTGAACGGCACATCTCCTGCCTCCTCATCCTCCATCACGGACCTGCTATCGTTGGCAGGGGAAGCGGGGATCGAGCTGGTGCGACAAATATTGAATCTCTCTAGAACACTCCTGATGTAACTCTCTTGAGAAATCTCAATCGTGCCAGCCTCGCGGTCGCGACTAAATGCGCAACCAAGAAAGAATCTGACTTCTCCCAAATTCTTCGTAGGAAGAGAGTCACCTAGTGCCTCTACAATCACCTCGGCAAGCCTCTTCGTTCCTGCATACAGAATGTCATCCACATGAATCGCGATTATACCCATCACCTCGTCTCCCATCATGAAACGCAGGACACAGGGATCAGACAGAGACTGCTCGAAACCTATCCGAAGCAGGTCCGACACGAGCCTCTTGTAAAATGTTCTAGATGCTTGCTTCAAACCGTACAAACTCTTGTTCAAACGGACAATTTTTCCTGACATCGAATCACAGCCAGGAGGCAACTTCATGAACACCTCGTGATCCAATTTCGACTGAACAAAGGCTTGCTCAATGTCTAAGTGGAGTAATTCCAAGTTATACTTGCACGCCAATGCTACTACCAATCGAATCGATGCAGCATTTGCAGTAGGCGAGAAAGTCTCAAGATAGTCCACCCCATGCTTCTGCTTGAAGCCCTTCGCTACAAGCCTAGCCTTGGCCTTTACTATCTTTCCTGTTTCGTCTGCTTTCCATTTGAAAACCCATCTAGCATCAATCACGTTACAACCTTCTGGGATTTTTGCTGCTAACGTGAACGTTCCTGCTCGTATCAAGCCTTCAACTTCTGCAGACATGGCTTTATCCCAAATCGTGGCATGCTTCGATCGCAGAGCTTCTTGATAGCTACCAGGCTCTGGCTCTACGTCCTGAATGAGCTCTTTCGGCAATTCTACTGCATCACCTGCTCTCTGCTCCGCTATGAGTGCATGTACTATCTCTGATGCTGAGATGGGTCCTAGAGTAGCCACAAGGCCGGATACGCTCTGCTGATTTATCGCACGGGTTTGCGCACGAGTTCTACCAGCTCGGACCTCATCACTCTCACGCGAAGCAGTATTAAAATCAGCAAGGTCAACGACATGCTGCGGACGGCGAGCGGCTGGAGGAGATGCCTCCACCTCTACTTCCTGCCCTCCCGGCCCCGCCGACTCTGTATCCTGCCCTCCCTGATCCATAGACTCTTCTTCATGCCCTCCCGGATCCTCCGACTCTACTTCATCATGCTCTCCCGGATCTTCGGACTCTACTTCCCCCGTTTCCTGCCCTCCCTGCTCCTCCCCATCAGTGGACTGAGAAGATATGGAGGGAATTGATCTACTAGGGGAGGTTGGGAGGACCGCTGCAATATTTCGCAAAAGTGTGTGGGGAACTCCTCTTCCTACAAGTGGCCAAACCTCAGCTTCTACATCGTCGTCACTTTCCTCCCCTTCCTCCTCTGCGACCTCTATCGGCAGCGGAGGTTGCGGTGGAGGGAGCTGTGACGGCAACGCTTCCCACGTTACGTTCCTCGTTTCCTGAATAGTCCCAGCTCTGGTGAGTACTCTATGACAATCACGTGGGTGGTCTCTCGAAGGACCNCCTTCCTCCTCTGCGACCTCTATCGGCAGCGGAGGTTGCGGTGGAGGGAGCTGTGACGGCAACGCTTCCCACGTTACGTTCCTCGTTTCCTGAATAGTCCCAGCTCTGGTGAGCACTCCATGACAATCACGTGGGTGGTCTCTCGAAGGACCAACATAAAAGCACCTTTCACCCTTCGGTAGCAGCTTAGACGGTCGCTGCCATTTACAGTACGCTGGCTTCAAAAACGGATACGGTCTAGCAGGACGAGCTTCCCCATACCACATTTCATACGGCGATTTGGAGTCGGGGTTAGCAGAACAAGCCGTGTGATTGAGTGCCTCGCAGGCCCAGTGCATGGTCTCCGCCCAGAGTCTATCAGTCTTAGGTAACTGCACATGCCCAAACAGAACTTTCGCCTGAATACGAGCCGCCATTGCGGCCTCTTCTATCAATCCCAAACCACGTTCCGCAACACCATTGAATTCGGGACTGTGAGCCGGGGTGAACTCTTGTTTAATCAAGAGCTCATTGCACACAGATGCAAATTCTCCACCGAAAAATTCCCCTCCATTGTCAGATCTAACAATCTCAATCAATGATGGGATCCCATCAGCACGCACGTTCGCAAGAAAACTTCGGAAAGCACTGCCAGCGTCTGATTTACTTCTTAGGAAATACATCCATGCACGCCTTGTGAAGTCATCCTTCAAAATCATGGGGTAATGTTTGCCCCCTATGGACGCAACGCCCTTCTTCCCTCCCAGGTCAACAAAAACTCTGCCTAACTTTTTGTCTGATCTATTTGTAGTCACATGAGCAATCGCCTTACGAATTGCTTTTCCCATCGAACATCCCGAACAAGCATGCATTTTACCGGTCAACTCGATACCTAGTCGCTTTGCAGTGGTCCTAAGCAGCCCTGCATGCGCATGACCATAAATGTTATGAAAATCGTTCACATCCATGATTTTTACGCGCTTGGGGTTTGAAGGGGTGAGGGCAGCCAACACCGATCCAATAGAGTTATGTCCGAGACGATACGCAGTAGCAACAAGCATGCCATCGAAATTCTGAAAAGTAACATGCCCGTGGAAAGCAGTCATCACACCGTCAGGACCACCAAGGCCATTCCATGACTCGCCATCAAACTCTGCGCTGGGAGAGAAAAGGTTGTACCCTAACTTGGGGGCATATAGCACATTCTTCAACTCTGCAGAAAACTCGCTGTCAGCAGACACAAACGCCACTTCAAGAGTTCCTGATAGTGCTACCTCACAAGTTACGCCACCAATTCCTTTTACTTTCTTGTGGCAAGGTTTCACATCCTTCATGCAAGAGAGAGAGTCTGTCATGTGGAAAGCTGTACCCGTGTCCGCATACCAATCTTCGATGCATCTATCCTTCTTCGTAAGAGTGGAGTGTTCGCGAATAGAATCACGGACAACACGGTCACTGCCGACGTACTTCTTCAACTCATCCTCTGCTTCGGTATACAACGCTTCAAGATACATGGTATCATGGTGTTCCAAAACAGCATCATTTCTACTGCTACCACGGCACTCATGCCACTTCTGCATGATTTTGGCATACATTGCTGCAATGTACTTGCCACCACTCCATTCGCTCGAGTTGGCTTGAGATAACAACAACACCAAGTCAGACTTCTCACCGTTCTCATCCTTGTCGTCCTCGGATGGTCCGGTCTGAGAGGGATGAGCTATCACACGAGCCAGGCAGTCCATCTTCAAGTGACCCTTCTCCCCACACTTGAAACACTTCCCCTGAAAAATCTTTTTCTTAGACGAATCAGACTCGGAGTTAGACTTTGACTTCTGGTTCTGCTTCTTCGCACTCTTCCTCACAGGTCTAGACATGAGTGCAACACTGTGTTTCTTCGGACCAGGTTGAGTCAGCAAGTCGAGATACCTCTCACGCACTTTAGTCTCTATGAACGACGGGTCATTCGGACAGAACACCACCAGAGGTTCACGCAGGGTCTTATACTCATGTGACAATCCCTCGAGCATCAGATTGCATACCTCTCTGTCATCTTTCTTAACTTCCAGCATCTGAAGCACACCAAGCGTCTCTCTCATAGATGTAAAGAAGATGGAGGGATTCTCATTCGAACGCATGCGCAATGACTTGAGTTTCTCCTCTTGCACACGAATCTGACTCTGGCTCAACGGTAGGAAGTGATCTTTGAGCACTCGGAACGCCTTGCTGGGGGAACCAGCGTGCCTAGCCATAGTTTTCAGACTTTCCTTCTTCAAGCAATCAAACAGAAACCACCATCCAATTTCAGCCTGACGCAGCACACCCACACTGAATCCTTTCTCTACCCAGGGGGTCAAGTCGAAACCAATGTCAGCAATTGGAATCTCAGTCTCAGAAACAAACGCTTCAAACAGATTGTTGTGCCGGGCACTCAGCAGAAAATTCTGTGACTACGAGGGATAGGACACGTCGGTCCCATCGGAAGCAGGAGCCTTGGGGACTTCAAAAGGACCCCTGCCCAATTTCTCTCCTGAATCTGTAATGCCGGCCCCAGGAATCAATGTGTTTCCACTGGCGACAC